GAATTGGTTGATCAGATTGGTCAATTATATAATTTTAAATTGGTTGATCGGACTGGTCAATTTTATTATTTGATATATTTTTTAAATTCATATTTATATATTTTTGTATATAACACAAATATAAACTTAAATTCATATTTGATATATAACAAAAATATTTTCCATTAATTCATATTTTTTAAATATTTGATATATAACAAAAATATTTAAATATTTTTTAATATAAATTTAAATTTATTTGATAAATATATTAAAAATTTTAATTGCAATACAATGTTTTCTATATTTCAAATATTTTTAATTATATAATAAATATACTTAAAAAATCATCATTTAATTTTAGTATGATTATAGTGGTTGATAAAAAATAAAAATATAACTTTAGAGGTGAAAAAAAATTATAAAAAATAAAAATAAAATGAAAAGTTATTTTATATATATCAAATATGAAAAAATTACAAATTTAGTCCCAGAATTGCAATTTTAGTCTTGAGAGTTAACGGTGACTTAACGGTCAGTTAGATTTGGGACCAATTACGCAACAAAAATTAGTTAAGGATTGAAATTGCGCCTCTTGGGACTAAAATTGCGACCGTCCCAATCTAACGGGACCAAATTTGCACTTTCCTCGTAATTTTTAATATCATTTGTCAGAAATATTTTTATATTTTGTATTGTTCTTTCATATGTTTTTAATTTTTGTATTTGCTTAAAAATTCATAATATTATGTATAGAACTTTTTCGGTCATATGTATTAATATATCAATTATTTGTATATTTTATATTATATTATATAAAATTACAGTTTTCTCTTTAATATTATAATCAATTATTCATAATTTATAAATTCATCAACACTATTGTCGAGCAACTATACTACAACATAGATTTTTACAGAATATATTATTTTGGTCATATGTGTTACTATATCATCTATTTGTATATCTTAATATTATATAATATACAATTACATTTTTCTCATTAATATTATAATTAATTAGTCATAATTTATAAATTAATCAATAATATTGTCGAGTCATCTATACTGCAACATAGATTTTTTGTTCATCAGATTTTAAAAGATATATTATTTTCAATGATTTGCTTATTTTTAGTTGAAAAAAATTATGTGTTTCCTATAAATACTTGTAACTTATTGTAACTGTATAGATTTGCTAAATATGTATTACATATGAGAAAGATGACAAATTATGAAAAGAATAATTTATATATTGTAATGACATTATGTTATTTTGAACGTATAATTTTTCTACTAGCTAGATAGTGCCCCCAATATGAAATTGTCTGTATCTACAACTGCAATTAGCTTTTCAATGCAACTTTCATTGAATTTTTTACAATTCCAATGAAAAATTTTCCAACGGTAGAAATATGTTTCAAAAAAATAAATTAAACGAATTCACACAACAATAAATAATGGTAATTGGAATCATTAAATCCACTAAAATTCCATTATAATTTAATTTGATCTATGTTGGAATAGCCAGTGATATTTTCCAATGAAAGCTATACAAATGAAATATACTTTGGAATTTTTAGTGGAACACCTTATCGTTGGATTTTTCAATGCAGTATAGCATTTTATTTTTTGCATTTTCTTTTAAACATTAAAATTTTTATGTTGTAGTATTTTTATTAAGTAATTGCGTTTATAATTTTTTTTTATTAAGAATATATTAAAAACATTAACTTTTTAGTCCATATAACTTTTTAGAAATAACTACCTATCAATTTCTCAATTGAATTACAACCTTTTACGTATTAAATATTAAATAACGAAAATAATTATTATTTTATATTGTAATATGATAAATATTATATTTAAAAAACTAATAGCAAATAAAAAGATATTTAAAATTAAAATAATCATTTTTTAAAATTTTAAAATTTCAAACCTATATGGATAAAAGTACAAATAATTATTATTTATCACCTAAAAGTTACACATAGAACTAATAAGTACAAAAAAAATAAAAATAAATAAACAATTCGATTCATTTACATCGATAAGTATAAGTTTAAAAGTTTTATATTTACTTTTATTAATTATAAAATTTTTATTTATTATTTGTTTTCATATTTATTAGTAAGTCTTACAACTTAATTATATTTTTAAATTATTCATCATATTTAATATTTTTTACTTTCATATTGTTCTTTTATTTAGCACACATCTTGAAAATAAGTGGCTCAAATAAAATAATAATAATTAAAATCTCATGATATATTTTACTAAATTATTTAATGTAAAATTTGTGCGTTTTAAGTGTTAATAATTGAAATATTACTCACCGTGATATTAACCATCTAATGGTCAGGTGAAAATAATTATTATATTATATCGTAATATGATATTTATATATTATATTAAAAAAACTAATAGCAAATAAAAAGTTATTTAAAATTAAAATAATTATTTTTTTCAAATATTAAAATTTCCAACCTACATGGATAAAAGTACAAATAACTATTATCTATCACCTAAAAGTTACACATAGAACTAATAAACACAAAAAATTAAAAAGAAATAACAATTAACAATTCGATTCATTTACATCGATAAGTATAAGTTTTTTAAGTTTTATATTTACTTTTATTAATTATAAAATTTTTATTTATTATTTTTTTTTATATTTATTACTACGTCTTACAACTTAATTATATTTTTAATGTTATTCATCAGATTTAATAATTTTTTACTTTTATATTGTTCTTTTATTTACCACACATCTTGAAAATCAGTGGCTCAATAAAATAATAATAATTAAAATCTCATGATATATTTTACTTAATTCTTGAATGTAAAATTCATATATTTTAAGTGTTAATAATTAAAATATTACTCACCTTGATATTAACCATCTAATGGTCAAGTGATAATGTGTTAATTATATTCACTTTGTGACTAAAATTGGAAAAAACAAACAAACAAACAAATGACGATTTTTGTGGTATCAAAATTCAATCCAGTAAGACTAAAGTACAATTTCTATTCTAATTCTAAATATAAGAGTTTAATTTTCTTAAATAATGAAGTAGCTAAATGAATTGTTCAACTTTTCTAGTTTGTCAGATAATGTATAAAATTATATTAAAAACAATGATTTTTTTAAAACAACAATTCTATATTTTTTCAAAACTTTGTTGTTTAGGTTGATGTTGGGTTGATTTTTGGGAGATATGTGGAAGAAAGCCATTTCGTGAGAAATAATGGTGCGAGAATATTGAGTTTGATTTTTTAGGAGATGTGAAATGTATTGTTCATGTATTTGTATTTAATTAATTAAGCATTAGTTATTAATTAAAAATATAAGATATGATGCGTATTAGTGTATTACTAAATTGCCATTAAAAACATGTTAAAGTAAGAGTTTTTTAGGTAATTTATTTATTAATTAAAAATATAAAATAAAATATGTATTAGTTTATTATTAATTTGCCATTAAAAATATGTCAAAGTAAGGTTATTTTAGGGAGGAAAAAACTTGGTACCCTTTCTCTCGAACCTTCCCCCTTTCTCTCTCTCTAAACCTAGACTCCAAATCGCCGCCGTGTAGCCTTCTACGGCGAAGGATCGGATCGGGCCATTGGTCACCAACGACTGCTTTGCCATCCCTGACATCGTGTCTCTCCCATTTCGCTGCGATTGTTGCTTAACTGGGCTCGTCGGACACTTGGTGGAAGCCGCAGGACAAAGTGACATTGTCGAGAGATGTGTCGACGGGAGGGGTTCTTCTGCGCCGGGGAGATGGTAGTTCCGTCCCAAATTCCGGTTTTTACCTTTTCTGATGCCGGGAAGGAGTGGCGGGCAGCTGTTTTCACTGGAATCTTCGCTACGGCGATCCTCCGGCTCTCTCTTGAAAGTCAACGGCAGAGTGTGACAGAGCAGGTGAGCCTCGGTCGACGTCTGGTTGATTCCTTATGTGGTTGTCGATTGGCTTCGATTAGTGGGTTCACCACCTTGTTTCCGTGGTCGGAGCTTGGAGGTTCATGGGCGATTTCAAGATGGGCTTCTGAGTTTGGACTTTTGGGGCTTGAGGTTGAGTTATCATTGGCCGGCGGGGTGTTGAGAGGTGTGTTGGTCGGCAGATGGCAAGGAAATCCGGCGTCCTGTCCTTGGTCGGGGTGCCGGAGTAGGGGAACGGACAACTTCTTCTCTTCCGGTTCTCTGGTGTGGGAACTGGATGGGCCCGGTCGACGGGAGCTGGCCGGTTGTCCTCTCGGTCGAAGGTGGGTTGATTCGGGTTTGTCTCGGGATCCAAGTTTAGCTTCTATATAGGCGTTCGACAGCAGTTTCGGGAGTTGGGCCTAGGATTTCGGATATTTCTTGGATTGACTGTTTCTCTAGTGGATACGATCCGTTTTATTGGCTGGGGAAAGGCTTTTCTTTAGTATTTATTTTATCTGTTTTGTGTTATATGTGTTGTGTTGTAATAGGACTTGTGTTTTTGGTTTGGGCCGTTGGCCCATGTGAGCCCGAGCGTCAAACTTATTACTCCGTGGGGGTCCGACACTAGGGTATTACTCTGTTGGGGTCCTTGTAGTTGTTCTAGTTGTTTGTGTTGTTGGTTAGTTTAGTTGTGACTGTGTTTTTTATTCTAGCGTTGCTTGTCGGGATTCTAGGCGGGCTTCTGACGTGTCCTCCCACTTTTCAGCTGTTGGCTGCTGTGTATTCAGCCGTTGGCTGTTGTGTATTCGCACATTTGTGCATTTTGATTTATAAAATTATCTATCGTTTCGGAAAAAAAAAGGTTATTTTAGGTAGTTCATATTTTTACAAAAACACTCGTCCTTTTAGAGTAATATATATATATATATAGATAGATAGATAGATAGATAGATATAGATAGATCAACGGGACTTTAGAAAATTCATATATCACATTTGTGTGCCGTACTTTTCATCTGCCCTGAGCCTCTGTCCAGCTTTTTTTTTTCGTCATAGTTAAAAAATTCAAAGTAGAATTTCAATATATTTAAAGAAAAAAATAGATATAGAGGAAAAGGAAAGTAACTCACATCGTTAGAAATGTCATGGACTTAAAGATGATGTCTTAAGAAGAGACCGTACATAGATGCAAATTACAGAAACGTACAACAATATAGTTATGCTTACACTAATGCCAACATGCATACTCATCGAATAGTTTTCTTCTGCTTGAAAATCCGAAGACAGTACGTATTGTAAATAACATCAACAAGGAGCGGGGACTGCTGCCGCAAGAATGATGTCACGGGAAAACAAGCGAGAGCAGCCACCGGTATGAGTATCCAACCCTTTTCCCGACCGAAAACCAGATAAAGAGTCACACTAAAGGCTACCGTCATGAAAAATATGGACATAAAGAGAGCAATCAGCCCGATGCACAACCTCTTGGGCAGAGCGTATAAGAAATCTTGCTCAGCATAGCGTGAAGTCAAGATTGACAAGAACATCAATAGTGAAGTCGTTGAGGTGAAGAGGGACATGGCATCCGAGACTGCGAATATTAGGAAAGCACTTTTTCGAGAGAACAATGGGTAACCGTTGCTCGACTCAGTGCCGCCGGGCACTGTGATGGCGGCCGCAAACACAACCGTGGCGATTAGTGCAGCGGCAATCGTGCATGAGTTGGCCGTGTCTTTCATCCACCTTTCACCGTCGACTTTCAGTTGTTGGTGCTCGTATGTGAATATCATATCGGGCGTTTCCTCGAAAAGGTTGATCCGTTCTGTTATATATACATCATTACACATTTTCTCCACTTCCTGTTAATAATTATATGATGGTTAATACTAATTAAGGGAGCTTAATTTGTCTTAGTGTACAAATGGTGTAAGTACAATTAATGTTTCCTTTAGAATCTATCTATCTTAAACACAACATTGCTATTGTTTTACATGTATTACCTATTATATTGCTAAAAAGATATTTACCGATGTGCATACCAATTAAAAAACATAAATTATCTATTTACATAAAATATTTCACCGTTTTTTACATATAACAAAAACAACAAGGCACTAACAACTAGTCATATGCATAAAGAAATACACCGATGGAGACTTGGAGTACGTAGTACTTATATATGCAACAAAAATTATCTATCATTAATTAACCTGTGTTCGGTCATGCGTCCGTCAACTTTTATGTTAGAATGTTCAGACTTGATAATCAAGGAGGAAATGAGTGAAAGTCCAGTTTTTGGAACACCATTGTATGCATCGTAACTATATTTTCCTCCATGAATAGAATTAAAAAGATAATTGAGATTTGTTATATAATGTTATTAATTATTCGTCTTAAACATTACAGGAGAAGTCAACTCGATGACGTGCGTACCTTAAACCATTGTATCTCACGCTGCATCTGTAGCGCCGCACCAGAAACAAGATTGAGCTTGTGCGATGGGGACAACCTTGCAACCAAGTGCAGGGGCGTGTTTCCATAAGCATCCTCCAACTTACTAAACTCAATTTGGTTATCGTTGAAGATCCGGTTAATCTCGTTGACAATTATTTCACTTCGGTTCTCGACAGCCGTGAGCATGGCGTCTTTGTAGATTTGGATTGTCTTGCTGGAACTTGAACGCTTCAAGCACTCGAAGAGGGACTCAACGAGAAGCACATGATCATTTTTTTTAGAGTGATGAACTGAGCTATTCTTGTTTTTGGCCGCTACAACAATGGTTAAAAATAGAATCTATAAATTTTTCTGTATGTATAAGATATGTATATATATAAGAGTTTAGTGTTGGAATGTCTAGAAAAGAATATCGCCCTTAACAACGGAACTATCCTGTAACGGGATTGTAGCATTCTCCGAAACCATATTTTTTGAACTGTGAAGAAAAGTAAGTTCTTTTGGAAAATAGAAATTAATCTACCAAATTTAAAAAGATGGTAAATAAAACTGAAAAACAACAAAATGATTGAACTAAAATTGCATGTTTTTTTTTTTTTTTTT